ATCTAATGAAGAATAAAATATGTTCTAAATCCAACAAGCTATCCAGAAGCTCCTGTGTTCCTTAAACTTCATTCTGCTTAGAATTATTGGGGTTTATTTCTTTTGATGTACCCAAGCAGAAGACTTGGGAAAGAATTGTGCCACTTCCCCATTCTCACACATGACAAGTTAAAAAGTTCTAAAACACTTTCAAAATGACAGAGTCTGGACTTCTGAAAATCTGCTCTTACAAAATAGCACCAAGACCTTGAGAATTTCCTTAAAATCAACTTTTTTTTTCAAAACTCTAGAGATGAACCAAAAGTGTCCAACAATCAGAGAAGAATTTATCCAAGTAAACCAGCTGAATATCAGGAAGACTAGCAAGTTTTGCAGCATTTTAACTTTATCCTATTCCTATCTTGCTTACCCAGCCCACAGCAACACTGAAGGCCAAAATCCCTGTTGCTACAGTATCTGTGAAAAGTCAGCACCTGGCATCCACCGGAGTGAGCAGAATGATTGTAGATCACTCTAAATAAACCTATCCTCAGAGAACTGTCAGTATATGACTGTCAGGCAACTCTCTAAAAAGAAAAGTGTCAGTCACAGCCCTTGTCTTCCTACACCAACAGCCCTTTTCCAAGGGCATTTTGGAAAGCATAAGCAACAGTTGTTTAATATCTAAGTTGCCTGAGGCAGACCATAATAGTTGGAGAAAATAATAGAATAAACAACAAAAGCAATCTGATCCCAACAATGTATAAAAAGGATCACACATCTAACCAAATGGAATGTATCCCAGGAATGTGAAAGTAATTCAACATAAAATCAATCGATGTAATGTAATTGTGGAGGGAAGAGTAAAACCCATAAGATCATTTGATTGACACAGAAAAAGCACTTCATAAAATCCGACAATCTTCCATGATCAAAACATGTGAGAAGTGTAACTAGAAGAGAACCAGATAAAAGCTAACTATGGAAAAATATAAAAGGCTTTTTGCCCTAAGATGTAAAAAAGACGAATAGGTTCACTCTCAATACTTCAGTTCATCACTTTACTAGAGATAATCATGAGTTCAGTTAGGTAAGAACAAACCAGCATCCAGTTCAGAAAGGAAGAATTAAAACTCTACTCATGGATGACATAATCTTGTATAGAAAAAAATCCTAAGGAATAAACAAAAACTATTAGTTCTAATAAATGAGATGGGAATGACTGAAACATGCAAAATCAGTAAACAATAACTGTGGGGGAGACATTGTTTTGAACTAAGCTCGGAAACTAGCCTTCAACAGACCAGACCAAAACAAAACAGCCACTTACACTGACTGTCACATAATCAAATCAACACTTTAAGGATCTGGATAGTACTCAAAGTAGATGAGCATTTTGGAAGTTCTCACTACTTTGATACTTCCCACAAAAGGTAACTAGAAGTAACTTGATGTTAACAATTAGCTGTTTTCTCTTCTTGTTTTGTTTTCTTCTCCCTCCTTTATGTAACTCATTGTTCTGTTATTGTCTACTGGGAGCCTTTCATTTTATTTTGTACAATACAGATTGTCCCAATTTATGAATCATGACTAAAACCTCATCGGTGCTTTAACTAAATTTGTTAAAATTTTATCTCTTGATAGTTTTTATGCAGTATCACTAAAAAAATCCAAAATTATATTTGAAAGAAAATAGCATCAAAATTAATAAAGTAGTAACCAATAGAATTAAAGAATTAAGTGTAAGCCCTGTAAACTCAAAACTATAAGACATTATTGGAAGAAAATAACAACCAAATAAATGGAAAGATATTCCATACTGATTAACTTAAAAATATAGTAAAGTTCAAAATTATACAACTAATAAATAGCAGAGCCAGGAGTTGAACCAATATAGTTTATAGGACACTATCATAAATACTATCATATTAAACTACTGTTATCTGTACTTTACACTCATCTCTGGGCTTTACTGACAGGCTGGTCCCTTAACTGGCTAATACAATATGCTAACTGGAAACTGTTAACAGTATTTACATAGCTTCATATACTCCACTTCCTAAATATGTGAGTAAAATTTTAATGCTTCTCCCACAGCAGTAAGTGATATGGGCATTTCAATCAGTGTGGCAAGGTCTACAAGCAAGATGGGAAGAAATCCAGTTTTCTGTTTTTCAGACCCAAGGATTGTCAGAGAACACAGTGTTTGTGAGTTTAGCCCATAAAGTCAGCCAGACTAGGGTATCAGTTCTGGTTCTACCCTCTACCAACAAATGTACCTTGGTGTCATTGACATCATCTGCAAAATGAATACAATACCAGTATTCTGTTCTACAAACTGTTATAGAAACATGCGTGCCTGTGTGTACATACACATACTTATACTGCTATGTTTCTCCATTGCCCTTTAATACTAGTCTGGATTATTTTATGGTGTTGCAAGTTAGATGATTTGATATGCTTTTAACCCCTTCCTACCTCTAGTCTCATGTCTTGTCATTTACAGCCTCATAGTACAAGCTGCAGCCACACCAAGACTGCTCCCAAGATGAACCATGTTCTTCTTCACCTCACCTTTAGTTATGTCATCCTCTTTGCTTGTGTTGTTTACTTCCATCCCCTCTCTTCTCCTGCATCTAGCCATCATCTACACATCCTTTAATACTCCACTCAGGTATTTCGCCACCCAGTAAGCTCATTTGTGTTCCCTTTAATGCCTTGTTCACACCTTTTCCAGTTCCTGTACTGCACAGTTGTAAAATTGTCTTAGGGGCAGGGTCTTTCCTTGCACATTTATATTGTTATCCATCAGAAAGTCCTTGGCTGCTTGAGGATAGCCACCATCATGAATGACACCATAATTTTCAAGACCAGGAAATCCATGACCAACCATCTACCTCAGAAGAAACAAATGGTCATCTATGCCCTTCACTCTGAGAAAGCAACAGCACTGAAGACAGAAATTTGACTACAGTTAGACAAAATACATAAGGCCATACCAGATGCCATTGTTGCATTTGGATTCAGAACCCATTATGGTGATGGCAAGACAACTGGCTTTGGCATGATTGATTCCTTTAATTGTGCAAGTAGACTGTGCCCAAATGCAGACTTGTAAGACATGGTCTATTTAAGAAGAAAAAAACTGAAAGGCACACAAGATCATATTGAAAAAGGTTGTGGGTGGGGTGCTTGTAAAGGCTAACATCAGAGCTAGCAAAAAGCAAGATGACGAAGGAGTCTGGGGTGATTTAATCTGCTATGATGAGGCACATTTCTAAGGAGAAGACTAATAAACTGTAAAAAGGCATCCCACTCTTTTCATGCGTCTGTGCTCCTCACTAGACTAAAAACCCTCAGTGGGTTTTTTCCATTGCATCTGAAGCTCTAGCTTCACCCTTCAGCTTTCCTCTATCTTCTTGGACTTCTTTGGCATAGTCTATGATGCCTAGAAAAATAAAAGTGATCTATATGATTTCATATATGAATTTGTGGAAAGGAGTTCTGAGTACATAATAGAAATTATGAACATATTTGGGTGAAATGAGGTCAGAGGATAAAAATATTTTGGAAATTAGAAAGCATTTGGTATAGTTTGTGTGTGTGAGTGTTTGCCTTTGTGTATGTATGTGTGGGTGCTGCCAATAGAGGTGAGAAGAGGACATTGGATCCCCTGGAACTGGAGTGTTACAAATGGTTGTGAGCTGCCATGTCGATGCTTGGACCTGAACCCAGGTCCTCCGCAAGAGTAGCAAGTCCTCTGAACAAGTGCTTAACTGAGCCATCTCTTCAGTCATAGAGATTATTTTTCATAGTTTCATAGTTTTCATATACTTTAAACCTGAAACATATGGTAGCTTAAACAGAATAGCATTTTCTCATACATGTAATGTTTCAATATAAGTATTCCTGGTTAGCAGGATAGTTCTCTTCCTTATGGATATTGAGGGACATGGCTCACAAAAGACCCCCAAATGCAGTAAAACCACAGAGGAACACATGGAAAAACTTCTGTAGGACAATCCTTCAACTGTTGCACATCATTTCCACTCCCATTCCATTAATGAGAACTTAGTCACATGGCCAGGGATGCTGAGAAATGGTCTGACCATGTGCTCAAGGAAAAGAATGATTCAGTTGAGAATTTCTGGTCGTTGTAAATGTAATAGTAAAGATGGGATAGTTTGCCTTAGGTGTTGGATAAATGATGGAACAGGTTTCTGTCCTTTCTAACTAGTATGCTACATGGTGCAGCTATGTTAATCTGTCCCCCGGGAAGCTTGAGTAGTCAAATGTAGGCAGTATTTCAAATCATGGTTGACAGCTGAGCTCCCCATTGAGCCACTTACCAGGAAGTAGCAGCTGGAGGGTGACTTGCATTGCTGATTATTCCTTAATTATTAATCACTGACACTTTGTAAATTGCCTTAAGTCAAATCCCAGCTGGGTTAGTATACAATATTATAGTGTTGGCCCCCAAATATTTTCCTGTGTTGTTTGTCTAGGCTAGAAAGGGTATTAAATAGATAGCAAAGTAGCAACATGATTTACTGCAAACCAGCCAAGTGATACTCAAAACAAAATGGGAAAAAGGCAAAATCAAAAAGAGGACTAATTTCCATTTCAAACCGTAGCCACAGGCACGGTTTATTCTCTGGCAGTTTGTGTTTCCCCAAACCAACTGTACACTTGATGGTGACCGCATGTAGGCAAAGGGAATGAGTAGAAGCAAATCAGTCTGAAATGAAAATCCTCATGATTCTCAGCTGAGAGGCATGTATATTCTCAGGAAAAATTAGAAAGCTGGTGTCTGGGCTTTATCCCTCCATACCTTAAGGAGCCTGTCCATCAGGAATGTACCTAGGAACCTAGATTTTTCAATATACTTTTAACGATTCTCAGCCTCCTGTGTCAATTAGTTATACAGTCTTCTGCTGGAGAAGACTGTGAATAGAAGTATTATGAACATTGACTTTTTCCTGGACATCTTAGGTGCCTAATGTGTTCTTTTCTTTTCCCAGTTTGTCGCTCAGCCAAACTGCCAACAATTGCTTGCCACCTTGTGGTATGATGGCTTCCCTGGATGGCGGAGAAAACACTGGGTAGTCAAGCTTCTGACCTGCATGACCATTGGCTTCCTGTTTCCTATGCTGTCTATAGCCTATCTGATCTCACCCAGAAGCAACCTTGGGCTGTTCATCAAGAAGCCCTTTATCAAGTTCATCTGCCATACAGCTTCCTATCTGACCTTCCTCTTCATGCTTCTCCTGGCTTCTCAGCATATTGTCAGGACAGACCTTCATGTACAAGGACCTCCCCCAACTGTTGTGGAATGGATGATACTGCCTTGGGTTCTAGGTGTGTAAAACAGAACAACAACAATGACTGGGCTGTCTTCTAGTCCTCCTTTAAAAAAAATACTGGGACATGTACTCAGAGTAGCTAGCTCTGAACTAGGACCCCTCCAGTAGGCCTTTTGTTGAGAATAATCTAAGAAATGTGGTTCCTTCTATCCTAGGTATGGATCATTCAGTTACGCATGGGCCACTGTAAACCAGGCATGCTGTCAGGGTTTGCATCTGCTCACATAACAGCTTCTAGGATGGAAGAAAAAATGGCTGTTAGTTAGTTTAGGGGAGAAAGCTTTGTGTCAGTCCACATAGGCTTCCGGTAAACTAGACAGAGCAAGCACTGAGCATTCTCTTTAAAGCACCCTTTCCTATAACCAGGAGGTACATGGATTCTGCTGATTTCTTGTGTTTGTGTCTACTTCATATAATCCTAGCACCTGTCCAGGTTCCATGTTCTATTTCGATACTGATCCCACAGTCAGCAGAAAAACCTGGGAAATTCACACTGGCTGTAGTAAAATTGATCTACCTGTGGTCTCTAGGCATAATTAGAGGTCACTAGACTCTCCAATACATGCCATCTTCTAAGTATCACTCAAACTATGAACCCAAAGCTACTATTATGAGCATTACTTGGGATTTTATCAGAGACATTTTAAGTGCTACCCTAGGTCTAGAAGTTAGCAGCATTCCCTAAGCAGTTTGCATGTAAAGTCTGGGAAGGGATGACCTTGACCAAAGCCACACATTTTAACTGAAACATCTCTGTCATCGGGCAAAATTCCACAAAAGCCCAATATAATGAGAGGAAAATAGAGAAAATAGTATCCTAATTTATTTTGGGCCACAATGCCTACTTACATTTGGCAATTTGCTCCCTGCTCAGCTTACTCACCTCAAAACCCATGGAGAGCTTTTCTCCTTAGCACCACGTGGAAAGTAAGGACCATGGAATAATACTGATGAAGTCAATTTATTACACTCCAAAATGGGAAAAATGTAGAATACAGTGCCTAAAATTTCAGTAGCTAAAATAAAATTTAAGACAAAATTGCAATAGCATCCAATTAAGAAGGAGGACAAAGTGGACAATAAGTATTTTAAGAAGTAGTCATCATCCTCAGCCATCAGGGAAATGAAAATTAAAACTACTTTGAAATTTTCTCTCATCCTAGTCATAATGGCTATCGGCAAGAAAGAACATGATGCCATGTACTGGCAAGGGTGTGGGAAAAGAAGAAGCCTCATTGGCTGCTGGTGAGAGAATTAAGCAGGCAATGTGGAAATCAGTGTGGTAGTTTCTCATAAAACTATACTATTCCTGGCTCAGGTACCCAAAGGACCCACTATCCTGCCATAGAGACACTTGCACCTCTATGTTTATTGCTGCGCTCTTGACAATAACAAGGAAATGGAACCAGCTTAGATGCCCATCAACCAATGAATGGATAAGAAAACAGGGTACATACACACAATGCAAGTTTATTCAGTTGTAAAGAATAATAAAATTGTAAAACATACAGGAAAATGGGTGGATCCATAAAATATTATATTGAATGAGGTTACCTAAAGTAAGAAAGATAAATACCTCATATTCTTTTATATGCAGATCCTTATTTTTAATGCTCAGATAAATATGAGTGTGAATATATAGGTGATAAAATAGAAAGAAGACAGAGAGTGGGGTGTTGAGGAAAAAGAAATACAATATGTGACATGAAAGCAGAAAGGAGGTTACCAGGAGTACAAGGGTAAAGGAGGAAAAAGAGAGGTGGGTGAGAAGAGGGGTTAGGAACAACAGAAACAAAATCTGCTTTATGTTTCAAAATGCCATAATGAACCCTAATACTTTGTATGTAAATTTTGAAAAGTAGAACTGAAGAGTGCCAAGAAAAATGAAAAGCATACTAGGTTTGACAAATTAAAAATTGGGTAGTTAGGTAGCCAAAAAAAAAGAGAGGTAAGTGATCTCCAGTTCCTAGAGTCTCTTTATTCATTCGGGGGACTCCTGTTGTAATGTTCAATGCTGCCTTGATATAGTAATGAACTTACTGCCTCCATTCTTCAGGTTTCATTTGGGGGGAGATAAAGGAAATGTGGGATGGTGGATTCACTGAATACATCCATGATTGGTGGAACTTAATGGATTTCGCAATGAACTCCCTCTACCTGGCAACTATTTCCTTGAAGATTGTGGCCTATGTCAAGGTAAAATGGAATGTGCAGCATTTTTCTTCCTCAATTATTTTGGATGGGTTATGCCAATAAACTTTTGAACTGGGAGCAGGAAAAGTTTATGGGAAAAATGAATGAGTGTTCCATCGACGTTAGAAAATACTACCTACAGAGATCCTTTCAATAGTCTGTAAGCAGTGTCTACTTAAGCAAAGCCAGTGGAGAATGGAACATTTTTTTCAGATGAATCCCTAAGCTTCTCAGACCTACATGGTAGAGGTGTCTTCACCCTTCAGCGCTTAAACATCAATAATGTTCTTTTGAAGAAGATGGTGCTCTGATGCAGTACAGAGTAGGGACAGGAAATTCACTAAATTCATTACTTCCAAAGAGAATCTTCACGGTTATCACTTTAGCAAAATCGTTTCTTGTATATTTGATTAATATTTTCCCATGCCATATCCATTGGCAACCCCTCCTCCCTGTCTATAGAACAAAACTATTTCCTCTCTGTAGTAGTTCTTCTGGTATAGGTAGCATCGGCGCTCCATTACCGTCTGAGTCATTGTTTCGCAAAGCCAAACGTCACCACTTCCCTCACTGTTCTTCATATGACAAGCAGCAGAACTCCAGACGCTGTGTGGCATGTAGGGCTACAGTAACCTCTGCTTTCTTCGTTACTTCTTCTGTCAGGATAACCATTTAGTTAAAACCCCAAGTTTTCAGTATCACTCAACCTATGTCTCTCCATTAATTCAGAAAATGTATACACGGTGCATACCCCCATCACTTTGATCCTTTCCCCATGCGCAAGCACCTTAAATTATCCTGGAAATCATTTTAAAATGTGCACAATTTCCAATGTTTTAATGAGATCTATAAGTGGGTAGAGTCTGGTTCACTCATCCACAGACATACAACCCATGTAAGATGACCTTCCCCAGGCCAAAGAAACAAGTGTGAAGGAAAGTTCCAGGCACCTCTTCACAGGCCCCTGTGTTTGGGGGTAATCACAGGTCTGAGTTCAGGTCTGGTACATAATAATAGAATTTGTGGCTGTGCTCCTTAAACCCAGAGTTGAGTTTTTCCCCCCACAAGGAAAGGCTGACAATTCATTTCCCAAGATGTCTAGTCAGTCATGCTTTTGGTACTAAATTTCACTTTGAGGACTTTTAGAATGGGAATATGGCTGTCCCCCAAGTCTCCAACAACTTAGTTTATTTTTATATCCCTAATATGCATATTGCATAAATTGCAAGACCTTGAGAGTTATATAGAGCATGAATATTGAATGCATTCATGAAACATTTTTGAAAGGAGCCCAAGAGTATGCCTTATGTGTGTGGTGATCGTTTAACACAAACTTACAACTTTCTTAGAAGAAAAGCCTGGTGAAGAAAATGTCTGACTCTGGTTAAACTGCCTGGGTTAACTCCATGGCACTTGGGTACTCTGCTAGTTAAGTAACACAGTTTTCCTTAAAAATGCATTGTATGCATGTATAAAATTAAGAAAAAATATTACATTTTTTAAATCTCCCCTAGAAGTAGAGAAACCATAACTTATCAGTCTTGAAGTTACTGGGTTTTGTTTAGCCAGGAAAGTTTAGAATACACGATGAAAAACAAGTATTTCTATCTGGGGGTATTAAAATGTGTCTACAGATACTTAACATCAGTTAATCACATGATCTTCCCAATTTCACTGGTGAGGCTTCCAAAGAGCTAAATACTTCTCCATCACAAAGTTTAATAAACCCACTCTGCTAAGATCATAAATTCTGCGTCTTACCACTCTTAGGAAACATAAATAAGACATGTCACATTCAGAATTTGTATTTTTTTTTTGAGACAGGGTTTTTTTCTATGTAACAGTCCTAGCTGCCCCAGAATTCGCTTCGTGGACCAGGCTGGCCTTGAATCACAGTGATCTGCCTCTGCCTCCTGAATGCTGGATTAAAGTCGTGTGCCACCATGCCTGGCCAGAATTTGGATTTTTAAATCATATTTATGTGTTTGGGCATTTTTTGCATATGCTTAGTGGCCATAAAGGCCAAAAGAGGTGGTCCCATTCCTTAAACTTGGAGTTACAGGCAGTTAGTTATGAGCCACAATGTGAGTGTTGGGAATTGAACGCAAGTCCTCTACAAGAGCAGCAAACAGTCTCAACCACTGATCCATCTCTCCAGCCCCCAGAATTTGCATGTTTTAAATGAGAACTTGTAAGTGGGAAGAGTGTGGTCCTCTCATCCACAAAAATGCAACCAGTTAGACATTCCCTGAGCAGAATGAGACAACCATTAAGCCTGAAGTCACCCGCGATAGTGGTGGTACATGCCTTTAATCCCAGCACTTGGGAGGTAGAGGCAGGCAGATGGGAGGGTGCTGTTGAACGTCTTCCTCAATGGCTCTCTACCTTGTTTTTTGAGACAGGGTGTCTCACTGACCCTGGAGCTCACCATTTCAATTAGCAGGTTGGCCAGCAAGCCCCTGGGTTCTACCTATTTCTACCCTCCTCCCAAGCAGTGGGCTTGTACCACTGCACTTGACTTTTACATAGGTGCTAGGGATCTGAACTCTGGTTCTCTTGCTTTCACAGTAAGCATTTTACCCACTAAACCATTTCCCCAGATGCAGATCTTTATTTATTGGAGTGAAAAAATTCATTAACAATACATACTTCACCCCACAGGTTTTAAAACAACAAGAACCAGAAGACATTCACCAAAATAACCCAAAAGAACAGCTATACTTATGATTGACCCTCAGTGTCCACAGACAAGCCTTCAAATGGAGAATAGTCAGCATTTCATCTTCTAGCATATTACTTAGGTCTATGCCTCCTACACCCTGATCCATGCACAAACTGATTCTGGACTTTACTGGGCATTTCTTCAACATTTACTTTACTATAGATACAATCACCTCTTCATGTTCATACCATCATCAATAATCCCCATGTTAGACTATTCCTCTTCAGGTTTTGCTTTGAGGTTAACAGAATGTAATCCACACCTCTTTCAAAAAAGTGAGGCCAAGTTTCAAACTACAATCCATTTCAAAGAATATTTTTAAAAAGTCATTTACTTTCCAGTATCAGTAATCTAGCTTCTGGACACATGGATTTGAGCCTTACTCACACTTGTGAGCTAGATCACAACCAGCCAATCCCTCTTCCTTTCAGAGCCTCAGTACTGCCGCTGATAAATAAGCAAATTAAACTTCATTAGTGGTTTTCAAGCTCTGCATTCCATGGAAACACATCATCGAGCAGAGACTTACCCAGAACTGCAGTATATAAAATACCCCAAAGGGCTAAGTTTGGTGTAAGGAATGTATCATCTAGTCTTCTTTGGACCGCACAATAGCTGTTAGATGCCTCCATTAAACCCCGAGGGTCTAAAAAATAGAATTTAAAATTTACAAGATTAGATCATAGATTATTAAGCTATGGTCTATGGACAAAATCTGGCTTACTGTCACACACATTTGTCCATGTACTGTCTTTGACCACTTTAGTGCTACAAAGGAAGTGAGTGTTAAGAAGCTGTGACAGAGACCCACAGCTGACAAAGCCAAAACTATGCACTATCTGACACTTGACAGAAAAATACTGTTGACATCTATGCTAGATGTCATCTGAGCTAATTCCCCATCACCCACCTGCTGAGGTGCTGTTCTCCAGAGGTATAAGACGCAAACTAGAGATGTCCCAGGAGAATTGTCTTTCATGCTTCTGAGTATTCTGCACATCCAGATTCGCCATCCTGTGGGTAACAGGCTTTCCTGTGGTGGAGAGACAGAATAAAAGTGAAATAAATTAGACTGTACATATGTCATCTGATTATTTCTCATTTTAAAACATAGGTTCTGTTTGGTTGTCAGCAAAGAATCTCCATCACTCACATAGATCTCAAAGTGTGTAACAACCTTTGTAACATGTGTTGTGAGATCAACCCCCATGTGAGTGACATTTCATTGAAACTGTGCTAGACTTAATGTCGAGAGATCTGGAGTTCTGGCTCTACCACCAAATTTGCTGTGTGATCTTTAGCAAGTCACTCTGCCTCTCTGGATTTCAGTTCCTTCATTTGTGAGACTGGCATGTGCAAGAACTGTTTTTGGTTTACTTTTTTCGTTGAAGGAAAATGTGGGAAATGTGGGAAATTTGGCTAAGATTACACAAAATTGATCAGCCACCAAAAAAATCTATGTGAAATAGAAGCATACATGTGGCACAGTCTCTCTGATTCCTCTGACAATGAAGAATATTGGCCACACATAAGTGATTTTAACACCATCAGTTCTATTGGTTGTTGGAAGTGAAGCACACTTGAGAAATGCTTGCAAGATCATTTGGACCCCAACACATTTTCTCAGGAAAGTCATCTACATTTAGTCCTCAGAAATTTGAGATATTTAAATGAGAGTATAACGTAATGGTGCTTCAGATTGAATTCCAGGCAAAATCTACTTCTGATCTTGGGAAGGTTAACAATCAATCCCTTATATTTCCATACCATCCTCCCTTATGGAGTACAGAGACTCTTGCACTTAAATACAGAATCACAAACAATACAGTAGGTAGGAATAGCCTTATCCTTCTTTTATTGTGAATGTAAAAGTTATGGGCAGTTTTAAGTGAAAGTTTCCAAACTGGAGTCCAAACCTCTCCATCTCACATTTTCCTATGAGGCTAATCCTCACATTCCAGAAGATAGAGGCCTTAAAGAGGCTGGAAATGGGCAACAAACCCTATAAATACTTGCTATTCCCTCTCCTTCAACTTCCTGGTTCTTCATTTGCACTGGAAGGCCTTTCTAACTTGTAAGGTTGTTAAAGAAACAGTAAAATACATCCATATGCCGCTGTGTGGAGAAGTACTAAATTTGCTACCTGGAAGGTTGACATGCCATTTGCAATGGTGTAGAATATATTACAAACTGCTAAAAATGCAGCAGAAAGCTCTTAAGAAAGGCTCCCTAAGGACTCTCTATCAGCCCTAAACTGTAGGCAGCAGAGCCTGGAGAGTGAACACTGAGGAGGTTGCTGTCTAGTCCTTCAGTAACTACAAATCGACCATGTGTTTCAAGGCAATGTGGAGGGATCATAGATCTGAATTGAAATCTCATCAAGAAGTGGAAAAATTGGTCCCTACTAGCTTGAGCACCCCAATGGCTCCTTTTCAGCAACACTCAGCAACAATCTGGTAAACTCACAGTTAGAAATGTCTGTTGATAAACCCCAGGTGGCTGCTGCAGATGATGCCTCTGAAATTCCTTCTGCTATGTATATATGCTTGGTATATATTTGGATAAGAGTGGGAGGGAGACAGTTATTAGCACTGTGTACTGATTGAATGGGGCAAAAAGACAAACAAATAGTACCATGTACGGTGAATTTTATGTAAGCTGAGTGTCGGGTGAATAATTTGTGTGTGGAAGGGTACAAAGGGGAAAATTTGGAAATGCTCACTGTACTTCTCATATTGTACACTTCTGTTGTTTTTTTCTTTTTCTTTTTCAGTATAATGGTTCTCGTCCAAGGGAGGAATGGGAAATGTGGCACCCGACTCTGATTGCAGAGGCACTCTTCGCAATATCCAACATTTTAAGTTCCTTGCGTCTCATATCCTTGTTCACAGCCAACTCCCACTTAGGGCCTCTGCAGATCTCTTTGGGACGCATGCTGCTTGATATCCTCAAATTCCTCTTTATCTACTGCCTAGTACTGCTGGCTTTTGCCAATGGACTGAACCAGCTTTATTTTTACTATGAGACCAGAGCTATCGATGAACCTAACAACTGCAAGGGGATCCGGTGTGAAAAACAGAACAATGCCTTCTCCACGTAAGACTCACAGTTCTCTTTCTTTTACCTTCTCTCTGCCTTCCTTTTTGTTCTATTTTCCATGCACAGCTTCATCAGTATCTCTTGATGGGATAGCAAAGCTCTCTACAGATCTACCCAAAGGGTCTGGGGTACAAGAAAGTTCTTCCTTCAACATAGAGTACTAGGAAAGTAGCATTCAAAGAGAAAAAGATTTACCAGGGACACAGAAACAGAGAGAGCTTTGCAGTGACTGCGGGGAAAAAAAGGTAGTTCTCAGTACTTTTTGTAGCATTCAAAAGAGTGGCAGCCACAAAGGATGTAAAAGCCCGTGACTATTCCTAGGAACTCATGACCACAAAATTAACTTGACTACTGTAAGTCACGCTCAAAGCAAAGGAGACAAAGGTGTCTTTTTTTTAAGATTTCTTTATTTATTTTAAAGTCTTTTTAAAAAACTTATTTATTTTTATGTGCAGTGGTGTTTTGTCTGTATGAGATGTCAGGTCCCCTAGAACTGGAGTTACAAACTGTTGAGCCATCATGCAGTTGCTGGGAATTGAACCCGGGTCCTCTAGAAGAGCAATCAGTGCTCTTAACCTCTGAGCCATCTCTCCAGCCCAACAAAGGTGTCTTAATACATGGATACACTAGGATAGAGTAGACGGGCTTCAGGCAAGATTACAGTCAGCTGGCCTACTAGACCAATTTTGGGATTGAGGTGGGGATTGATTGGAAATGTCTCTGCTCCAATTTTGGGTGTAGAAAGAAGCCTATGAGAGGTTCACAGCCTCTGGGCAGGTAATGCCTGTGCCTTTCCTTCCTACTGTGAAGACCTTCTTTGGAATTTTTTCACTCCCTAAATGGCTTTAGAATGATAGTGGAAATAGAGAAGAGGAAAAAAAGAAGCAGCTAGATATTGTGACACACTCAGGAGGCCTAGGCAGGAGGTTCATGAGCTTGAGAATAGCCTTGGCTACACAGTGAAACCCTGTCTAAAAAGAGCAAAAGCAAAAGGGAGGGAGGGGATGGGAGAGGACGGAGGAAGGGCAGAAGGAAGGAAGGAGGGAAGGAAGGAAGGAAGAAGGAAGGAAGGAAGGAAGGAAGGAAGGAAGGAAGGAAGGAAGGAAGGAAGGAAGGAAGAATAAATTAATTCATGCAATTTTCTTAGGTTAGAAGCTGCATTGGGCATCAGTGTTCTTTACTTTGTCCGTCTCAAGATCCATTACAGAGACCCAAAGCTTGTTCATGATTCTCAGTCATTAAACTAAGAATTCATCTATTAGAATTTTTTTTAAAAAAATAATTTCACATACAAAAATTATACAAATCTTGGAGGTGTAAAGTTAAGTTATGATATATGAACACACAGTACAATGATCAAATCTGGATAATTAGCATCCTCATCAACTCAAGTATTTCTCATTCCTTTGTGGTGAAACATGCAGAATCTGTTCTAGCCAGTTTAAAATTTACAATGTGCTATTCTCATCTGTAGTCTCCCTATTGTATAACAGATCACCAGAACTTCTTGCTCCTATCCAACTAACTGCAACATTGTTTTTGTTGGCCAACCTCTCCCATCCCTCCTACTTTCCACCTCCAATAACTACCATTCCATTCTGTACTTCTACAATATCAATTCCTTTACATTCCATATACTGGTGAGATGATGCAGTCTTTGTATGGAGCTTATTTCACTTAACATTAAATGTCCTTTGCATTAGTTTATGTTTCTACAGATGTCAGAATTTCAATATTTTATAGCCAAATAACAGTTCAGTGGATTTATGGGTCCTTTAAACATGTATTTGTGTGTGTGTGTGTGTGTGTGTGTGTGTGTGTGTGTGTGTGTGTGTGAGAGAGAGAGAGAGAGAGAGAGAGAGAGAGAGAGAGAGAGAGAGAGAGAGAGATCACATGTATGACACTGCATAATTCTAGACATTGGTTCTCTCCTTCCACTATGCGAGTTCTGGGGCTCAAACTCAGGTCATCAGGCTTGGTGACAAGCACTTTTACTCAGTGAGACATCTTACTGGCCCTTTCACTGAATTACTTTTTTTTTCTTATCTCAATAAGTCAGTACAGTGTACTTTGACATTCTAGAAAATTCTTTAGTAACTAAGGCTAGGTCAAGGGTGGTAGCTTATGCCTAATATCTCAGCACTCCCAGGATGAGGTAGGAAGATTACAAGTTTGAGCCCAGTCTAGATTACATAGCAACACTCTATCTCAAGAAGAACAACAAAAGGCCAGTGACAAAGGATGTCTGTTGCTGCTGCTACTGCTACTGCTGCTGTTTGGGGACAAGGTTTCATATCATTCCAGGATGGCTTTGAACTCCCTTTGTAGCTGAGAATGACCTTGAATTCTTGGATTCCTGTCTCCACCTCCCAAGTGCTAGAATTACAGGTTTTCACCATCATACCCAGTTTTGCAAAGGTATTTTAACTTGATCAAACAGACTCACAGGAAAAATCAATGCCTTCTTTCCTTCCCATGTGAGTTACCCTAGTTGTATTTCCTAAAGTGAGTTATATAAATCCCACAATTCAATGAATTGATAATAGGCATGAAAATAGAGTCTGAGGTGAGATATGTTGCAGAAATGTTTGGAAAAATTTTGAAAGTTCTCTTAAATGTGGGAAGTTTCAGAGTCCTTTCCGCTGTAACTCTCCATCATAGAAAGAGGAAGAGGTCTTCCTAAATGTGTTGTCTCTAGACATTCTTCCTCCCTCTTATCTTTCAAATGATCTCTCCAGTGAACATGTTGGAGTGAAGCATGTTGGCTCATTCCATCGCACACTGCAGCACTCTTCACCTCCACCAAAGGATAACCCATCTCTCCTCCCATAGGTCAGAGCAAAATCTTGGATGAGAAAAGTGAGAGGATAAAGGTCCAGAATGGCTTGCTCAAGAGTTAGCACTATGTTGTTAAGCCAAGCCAAGTGCCGAACAGTAACTTAGCACCTTGCTGATGCCTCTTCACTAGGAACTTTGCCTTCTTCTCCAGCATGACTCTGGAGACAGGACTCATATCAACCTAGGTTCATTAGAAAGAGCAATTCTGGCTGGGCGGTGGTGGCGCACGCCTTTAATCCCAGCACTCAGGAGGCAGAGCCAGGCGGATTGCAGTGAGTTCGAGGCCAACCTGGTCTACAGAGTGAGATCCAGGACAGGCACCAAAGCTACACAGAGAAACCCTGTCTCAAAAAACCAAACAAAAAGAAAGAAAGAAAGAAAGAAAGAAAGAAAGAAAGAAAGAAAGAAAGAAAGAAAGAAAGAAAGAAAGCAATTCTGCAGTGTCATTTTCACCAAGAGACATCATCATTCCCATGAAAGTGTTCCAAAGGATGGAACAATTGAAAGCAAGGTGCTTTCCAGGAGGCCAGGTCCTTACCAATTCCCCATCCATGTGAGCTCTGCCAAGGAAGTGTATGAAATGCCTCCCTGAAAGTTTATAATCATTATTAATACCCCTGAAGCCAATGGGCATGTTGCTCCCATCATTTGCTTAGCAGAGACTGTCAACAAGAATGGGCATCTGCCATACATGAAATTGTACCATTGAGGTATCAGGTAAGAAGACACATTGTCATGTTGGACCTGAATTAGCAGTAATGTCACTTCAACTTCCCCTCTATCTTTGGATTGCTTGCCTCCATAGAAGCCTGATTCAAATTTGTTTTCTTTTAAACACTTTAACTTTGGCATTGATAATAATACCTATTAAAACGCATGCTGCTCAGCTAGATCATCAGAAAGACAGATGTTTACAGAAGGGGAATGTGAGGTTGTTTAGATATCTCATGAAAAGTTTGGTGTATACACAACTTTTCCTCTTCCATATGATTCTCCAGGAATGCCATTGCTATTGTTATTTAAAATGGGGTAAAAGTTCTTTTCTCCTTGAAATGTGTTTTGTGAGGAACACGATATACTTGTTGACAACAACGTGACAACACTGTTGTTGACTTGAGCTCCACATTCCACATTGGGAGTTCTGGGCCTTCATCTGCTCTTGGAAGAGGCAGTTGGGAAGGCATCATCGAAGGTATCATCACTCTGTGGGCATAGGATTTGTGAAGGTTACAGAGTAATAGTGTAAAGGTATTAACCTGAAAGTCCTGCATCTGTTTTCAATGGTTGAGGCACTCATCTACCCCTACCTCTTTATTCCACAGGACACTCAAGACACTGAATGTCCACAACTAAAACACTTATCTCCATGTTGTCACTCTAACTCATTTTCCCTTTAATTCCTCAGCTCATTCATGACACCAGCCAGAATCTAGTGTGTCAACTCACCCCGGTCAGTTGTACTTTCTAAAGCTCCTGCAAAACACACACACAGACACACACACACACACACACACACACACACACACACACACACACACACACAGAGAGAGAGAGAGAGAGAGAGAGAGAGACAGAGACAGAGAGACAGAGACAGAGACAGAGAGACAGAGAGAGACAGAGACAGAGACAGAGAGACAGAGAATAGACAGAGAGAAACACTGTTTAGGTTCAAGCCTAAATCCTAAGAACTCCAGCAACAGCCTCTTAACTATTCTCCCTGCCTGCACACACCATGTGGAAATTTCTTTCTAAATCCCAGTATCATCTCAGCACGCCCTGGCTCCATGCCTATCCAGTATATGCTATTCTCCTCTGTAAATCCAACCTCTGTACCATAATATACAGGGTCTTAGAAATTTGCAGCAGGTCTCCACATGCTTTGACTCTTCTCCTTCATGGTCAATATTTTCTGCTCCCTGGATACACAAAGGCTTTTTGTCTCAGTTGCATGGGTTTTGTCCCTCTGCCTGGAAGGCCTGTCCCCACTGTCCAAGTTAGATTTCTGCTGCTGTAATAAGCGGCTCTGACCAAAAGCAGCTTGGGGAAGGAAAGCTTTATATCATCTAATACTTTCAAGACATAGTTCATCATTGTGGGAAGTCAGGACAGGAAGTCAAGGCAGTAACCTGGAGGCAGGAACTGAAGCAGGGTCTATGGAG